AGCTACTAGAATAGAGACCCCTTTATGTGACTGTTTAATGAAGTAGTTTATTGTTTCAAATGTCATGACATTGCGCTTCTCAGTCAACTTTACATAGAAAATGTCGTGACCACGCAGCAGGGATGTAAATTCATCCGATAACTACAAATTCAGTCAAAGTTTAAGATGGCGAGCCAAATCACTAATGCAAGTGTCCTCTCTAGCGTATTGGGGAAGGATCATAGTCCGTGAGCATGCGGTATGAACCCCACATTTGGGTGAACGCTGGCCAAACTCAATCCCAACGATATGCAGGACGAAGCGTTTCGAGAAAACGACGGCGTAAAGTCAGTTCGCCTAGCCGTCGACATCGCAAAAAGCAAACTATTCTAGAGCCTAAGAGGAAGAGGGAAATTCCCTAGTACAGATTGTTCCATATGTATGGACATACTCCGGGACATCTTTGTGATTATCTAGGTCACGACAGCATTAATTGCACGTAAATAGGTGGGCTGTGGTTAACTTTCAATAATAATGCACACCAGCCAGTGAAATTCTGAAAAAAAGATGTCTAAGGAGTGGATAGGCAATTCCATGGAACCAGGTAAAACAGGGGAGGGGGAGGGAATCAAGTTGGGGGCAGCAGAAAGTAGAATGTGAACACTTGGAGTTATGATAAATGGGAGGAACGAAAGGAGAAACTCGTACACCATAAAATCGAACGGCAGGCAGAGTATGCAGACACAGACTGCATATCTTTAGAAAAAGAAACACTGTAGTAAGTGTCCTATTTACTAGGTGATTATTAAGACTTCAGTGATGTCTTAGTGACTTATGCAGATGCTCCGAAGGATTGTCAATTTAAGAGAGAAGGGTTTCAATTATATGCAAATAGTTTAATATTAAATTGCACGTACTAATAGGTGAAAATGTGAAGGAAGTTAAAATACAAAGGTCCTCCGTGTGAGTGGTACAAAAAAGAGAAAAGGCAGATCGTGATTCCGGTTCCAAAGGCAAAAACGAATGAAGAAAGAGTCCCATCAGACTGTCAGAATTTTACCGATTGCCGAGATGCTAACACTGATCTGTCATAAAACGAAAATGAAATACACATGTTCGCATGGAGTCGATGGCTAAACGGACTTATGGGTGGAAAGGCTGACAGTGCGTTCGTGAAAACACAGGGAGTGGCAGGCGGGAGGGAAACGGACGTAAGCAGTAAGATGAGTGCGAGCTCAGTGAACGACCTTAGACGTCAGAAGACAGTCGGTCGACTGGACCCTTTGGCGTTGGCTGTCGTACCCGCGCTGCGGTATCGTACCTGCCGCAAACCCATTAACAGTACTTGCAATCCAGGTAGAATTCTGAAGTTACGCACAGGCCCCACTGTACGCCTCCAGCTGCAAACCAGCGACACACAGGCCCATATGGTTCTCCAAAGACCCAATGCGCTACCGTTTCTCCGGACGTAGTCTGCCTGATAGTTCGCTCCTTGAAAGCAAAGAGGACTATAACTGTCCCGAAGAGAGGGTGCGGTGACCTGCTGGTAAATTATAATCCTGCGGTATGACGACCGGAAGGTGGCATGGGTGTGCAGCTGAGCAGGCAGAACCACACCCGCGCATACACGTGCTGGGTCCTACTTCAAAATAACCAGGTCCATAGTAAGAAGAAGTCACTTCAACCGATCTCTCGACCCAAAGGGAGACCAAACCTTCCAAGTCACAAATGGTAGTGCGCCTGGGGCTCAAAGGCGTACTTAGTTATTTATAGCGAG